CTATTTTGGAGTTTGTTCAAGTAATGGAGATCGTGTTTTAAGAGAAGAAAGACTGTGTATGTACCTGGAAGGCGAAGAGAAAGAGACAAGCTAAGCCGAGCCATGAATGTAGACTGTAGAAATTCTCAATCCCTTTGTCGATATGGAACTTGAGAGCAGCCCATACTCCGACTAAACTTAGGACAAAAGCTGTGAACTGTAGTGAAAGATGAACCAGTTTCTTCAAGTTCTTTGTGCCTTGAACCGACTTGTATGCTAACATAGCTGCATAATTTTCAGTGTACACAAAATGTTAGAAACCAAAACACCATAACATGTTCACAGTCTCGTTCTCACATATGAAGTAGGCCGTGGTAATTAATTGAACACGCAAACCAAATCCTAAACCTCTCGACATTGGTTGTATAATGCCTATGTACCCACATGTTAGAAAAAACAAGATTGTCTATGAAGAATGTAGTAATCGAACATGAAAACCGACACTACGAATCCTAAACCTCTCTAGACATTAATAATGGAACAACACACAGGAACAATGAATGAAACATACAAAAAATTCTCAAGTCTTGTTTATTTGATAGACACCAAAATTCTGTAGACACAAATCAAACATCTTCATGAAAGAAACATGATTCAGTAAAGTTAAGAGACTGTTCTAGAGGAAAGAGGTATGTGGTTTACCTTCACCATTGAAGAGTATGAGTCCAATAACCATCAAAACTGGATGAACCTGCACACACAAATCCATCTCAGTCCATCGTTTTAGAGAATCCAACAAAAAGGGTCAACTAAAAAACCAATAATTTGTGATAAAGTTTAAGACATTACAGTAAAAATCAAAAGATAGAGATTTACGTTAAAGATGAGATCTTTGTTATCGGAGGAAAGAGCTAATCCTCCTCTGTAGTGAACAGTCCATGTCAGAACCAAAGCGGCAATGATGAAACCCAGAACTCTCACCACCAAGAAGATCGGAAACCCACCCAGCATCGGAACCACCATATTACAGACCAAATCAAAATCGAAACCACCGTCTCTGTTTTAGATCGGCGATGTTGGGGTCAACCCAAGTGATCTCGTCAGAAAACAATTAAGTAACAAACATTTAATACTTTTATAAACAAATTAAAGCTTTTAATTTAATTGTCTAATAGGTCCTTTGGATACTTTGCTTCTTTGATTGAATGTTGTCTTCTTTATGAAATAACTTATAATTTTATAGTATATCAAAGTTTAAATAAAGACGAAATTTTATACATGTAGAAAAGAATAATATTGATATATGATAGAGAGAACTTATTATATAAAGGGAGAAGAAAGGTAATGGTGTGTGTTACAACGAACGAACTTCATTTGTTTATATAGAAAGTAAAAAGAGAAAGTTACTGTACGCACATAGTGACAGTGGGCTCCATACAATAAATATACGTATGTAAATATCAATAATCGGTGCGTATAAGTTTGCCGTTACTTCTACACATGTTTTATAACACTCCCCCTTGGAGACCAGTGTCACTATCATTTCTTGCTTAGTGTTTGTGTAGCCTCGTTAAAAACCTTTCTTGAAAAATCCTGTAGGAAAAACCATAATAAGGTAAAAAGAGTACAACCACATAAGCTCCCCCTCGAATGAGCAGTCACAGATCCTTTTGGTGGCGCATTCCAATATTATAGACATGATTTCTGAATACCGAAGTAGGAAGTGATTTTGTGAAGAGGTCAGCAGCATTGTCGCATGATCGAACATATTTTACTTCGAATTATTTATTCTTCTCGACCTCTTGCGTGTACGAGAAGAACTTCGGAGGTAGGTGTTTGGTTCTATCGCTTTTAATATATCCTTCTTTTGTTTGAGCAACACATGCTGCATTGTCTTCATATAGAACGGTCGGCTCCATATTTTCGTCAATTCCACTACTTCAACATATGTGTCGGCTTATTGATCTCAACCATACGCATTCTCTGCTTGCTTCATGGAGTGCGATGATCTCAGCGTGATTTGAAGAAGTAGCCACGAGCGTTTGTTTTTGAGAAATCCAAGATATAGCAGTGCCTCCGATCGTGAAAACGTATCCTGTTTGCGATCGAGCTTTGTGTGGATCTGAAAGATATCATGCATCTGCAAAACCAACCATTTGACTTTTTGAATTTTTAGGATAAAACAAGCCTAAGTCAATGGTCCCTTGGAGGTAACGAAAGACATGTTTAATTCCATTCCAATGTCTTCGTATGGGAGATGAGCTGAATCTTGCCAAAAGATTGACAGCGAATGATATATCAGGCCGTGTACAATTTGCAAGGTACATCAGTGCTCCAATTGCACTTAGATACGGTACTTCAGGACCAAGTATCTCTTCATTTTCCGCATATGACCGAAATGGATCATTTTCAACATTAAGTGATCTAGCAACCATCGGGGTGCTAAGAGGAGTTGATTTATCCATGTTAAAGCGTTTCAACACTCTTTTAGTATATGTAGATTGATGCACAAATATACCACTTTGATAATGCTCGATTTGTAGGCCAAGACAACACTTTGTCTGTCCGAGATCTTTCAACTCAAATTCTTCTTTCAGATATTCTGATGCCTTTTGTATTTCCTTCTGAGTTCCAATAATATTAAGATCATCAACATATACCGCGATTATCACAAATCCGGAAGTTGTTTTCTTGATGAAAACACATGGACATATTGGATCATTCACATATCCCTCTTTTGTTAAATGTTCACTGAGACGATTATACCACATTCGTCCAGATTGCTTTAACCCATATAATGATCTTTGTAATTTTATTGCAGATAATTCTTTTGGTTTGGAACCTAATGCTTCTGGCATCTTAAATCCATCAGGAACTTTCATGTAGATATCAATATCTAATGATCTATATAGATAAGTTGTAACAACATCCATAAGACGTTTTTCAAGATTTTTATCAGCTGCTAGACTCATCAGGAATCTAAAAGTGATTGCATCCATAACGGGAGAATATGTTTCCTCATAGTCGATTCCATGTCTTTGAGAAAAACCTTGGGCGACAAGACGAGCTTTATATCTCCTGATCTCATGTTTCTCATTTCGTTTTCGAACGAAAATCCATTTGTATCCTACTGGTCTCACATCTACAGGTGTGAGTACAATAGATCCAAATACTTCTCGTTTATTAAGTGAATCAAGTTCAGTTTGTATTGCATCCTTCCATTGTTTCCAATCATGTCTCTTTTGACATTCAAAAACAGATTTTGGTTCCGGATCTTCGATTTCCTCATTTATCTCACTTGACACCATATATGAGAAGGCATCATCAATATCATCATGTTCATTTCTATTCCATATCTTCTTAGAGTGTGAATGGTGAGGCAGATCATTGACAGATGTCCTGCACACTGGTATTTTATGAACTGCATTTAACAATCACAACTTTTATGTATTTCGGAAGATAATGCAGGAGATCTGCCCAAAAGTAAATTTTTTTTGTCCTTTTCTGGGTAAAAGCAGGTATCCTACATGTGCTTCTACCACCTCTACTTTTGATCCAGTTCAACGATACCACCAACTTTTCAGCCAATAGGAATTTTTAATAAAATAAATTAATTTCCTAAATATTAATTCACCTCTATAAAGAAAGCTCGTTGCTGTTTTATTATTAGTTCCATAGATCCACCAAAGAAAGATTCCAGTAGCAATAAAAAAAATTGTATGTTGAGTAGTGTGAGAGTTATCGTTGTAGTGCTGTCTTGTGTTGAGCATATTGTCTTGAGCATCATTCCTCTTCAACGTAATCTTTTATAATTATATATTATATATATTATTTTTACAAATAATATTGTATTAATAATTGAAAATTTGTATAGTTAACTGGAAAAAGATTCTGTGTTGTAGGGGGGAGTTAAGAAAAGGTTTTCAGTCATTACCTCCAACGTAAGGTAAGAATAATTTTTAACTTTATTATATTTATTTTTATTTATATATATATATGTATTAGTTTTTATTAGATATAATATATTTTAATAATTGAAAATATATTATATGTAATTGGAAAACTCTATATGTATGATATATTTTAGTTTTTTTAACATTTTATATTTAGAGTTTTATCAATAAAATATACATGTAAATAAATAAAATAACTGTATATATATTAACTGAAAATGAAAATGTGTCATATTTTAATTAAACATATTAAAATAAAAAATGTATACATATAGATATTTTCTTAAAATAATTTTAATGTCAACTTACTGAACTAATTTTTTCCAGTAAACTTCTTTTTATTTTATTTATATACTATACAATAGTAATTGTAAATATAGAAGATTTAATTAAAAAACTTTATATCTTTAGTGTATTTTATAAGTTGACTTATAATACATGAATGTAAATAAATATTTATATTATAAGGTAGATATATGTATTAACTGAAAGTATAAAATATGTAACATTTTAATTCATACATAGTAAGAAAAACAGTATATATATATATATATATATATATATATATTCCAAAAAATAATTTAGTATTAAAAATTGATATAATTAGTGTAAAACAGAAGTAAGAGTAAATTTATTTACATATATATATATATATATATACTTAACAAAACCAGTTTAATATAAGTATTATTAAAATAAATTTTCTCCTTAAAATTTTTGAAATTAATATGAATATGTATTAATCAAAAATAATGAAAGTGTTTTCTAAAAAAAATTTCATATTATGTGAACAACTTTTTTGTCAAACTTTTTAAATTATAATTGTATGAATAATCTTAAAGAAATAATATAACTATATGTATATGGTTAAAAACAAATCTATAGAAATTAGTCTAATTGCACATTCAATTATAAGTTAGAAGAAGAAAATATTTAATTCGTCAACTAAGTTTTTCCAGTTAGTTATTTTTATTTTATTTATATACTATACAGTAGTAATTATAAATATAGAATAGTTAATTAAAAATCTTATATCTTTAGTGTATTTTATAATTTTACCTATAATAAATGCATGTAAATATATATTTATATTATAAGGTAGATATATGTATTAACTGAAAGTAGAACATATGTAACATTTTAATTCATACAAATAAAAAACCAATGTATATATATATAAATATTTCGCAAAAATATACATTTAGTATAAAATATATATATAATTAGTGTAAAACAGAAGTAAAAATTAATTTATTTACATATACACACACACATATATATATATATGCATAATTATTTAACAAAAACAGTATAATATAAGTATTGACATAAATTTTAATAATTATTACGAAATTATATGTATACCATATACATGTAAATTATTAGAATACTACTTTATAGATGTATCATATGAAATAAGATATGTGTTACACTTTAATTTAATCAAAATATAAAATATATACATGTTAGAAAATATTTATTTAAGAAAACTATACTATAAATATTAGAAAAAGTATTCAATAATCATTTAGAAATTACTTTGATTTCTTTTGTAATCAAACAAATAATAAAGATTGGATTATATTTAATCAACCAAACTAATATTAGTTATTTTAAAATTGTAGAGATGACGTCAAATCGCCGACAAAATATAACATTTTCCGATGAAGAAGATGTGAATTTACCTACATAAACGTCAGTACGGGTAAGTACTTGATAAATTTTTAAATATTATAGAATAATTAATAGTAAAGTCAAATGATTGTATTCTTTTAAAAAAAAATTAGAGGGAAGACAATTTTAGATGGAATCCTAACCGAGAACGAGTGTTTATTGAGTTGTACGATCGAGCAATTGCCATGGGTGATTACCGTTTTAAAGATCCTACACCCTCTGGTAAAGAGTTTCTCGTTGATAAGTTCAACCAAATGTTTAATAGTAACGTAAACTTCCGGTTCTTCAAAGAAAAGCTTGATCAACTAAAAAGAAAATACAAGAAGTACAAGCATCTTATGAAAAATTCTACGGGCACTTCGGTTGATCCCACGACATCTGTGATATCTGAGTCTGATTCATGGTGGAAAGATCGTGAAGTAAGTACAACAAAATCTTATAAAACCATCATAAGTTTAATAAATGACCAAATCTATAATATATGTGGTCTAAAACCTATATAATTCTATTAACAGGTAGACAGGATTGTAAAATCATTTAAACGAAAGCCGCCGGAGCATTGGGATGTGATGCAACGATGTTTCATTTTATATGACGTCCAGTCACAATCTCAATACTCTTTGCACCAAAGAAGAGAAGAGTTGATGAATGATGGTCAAAACAATGATGAAGGTCACTTTTACTCTGAAACATATGGTGGTGATATTCAACACACTCAGGTTCCTGAAACACAAGAAAATGAAGAAGTCTATCGTGTTGATATTGATGATGAAATGCGTCCTTCAAATGATTTATTCCCTCAGAATTCTTCACCTACTGCTGACCCTTTTTAGATTTCTACGTCAAGTGCTCAACAACGAAGTAGACTAAGGCGTGGAAGTAGTTCACAAAGAAGTGCAGGAAATTCTCGGACCTCTGTCAGAAGTGGATCCCAAGGAAGTCGAAGAAAACAATCATTCGAGACAACCCTGATAGATACAATGACTGGCTTTAGAGAGTTTCAACGCCAAAGTTTACAACAACTGCGTCCAAATTCTTTTGACGAAGATGATTACAATGAATTCGATACCGCTGTGAAGATATTCGAATCAATGGGGCTACCAAATGACATCAATTTCTATTGGGCATGCATTCATGCATTCAAAGAAGAAAGATTTTGGCGCAAGTACTTTATTGACAGAGCGGAAAGAAACACAGAAGAAAAATTGAAGTTTTTACAAGCTCTTACTGGATATACGCGGGACAGCGAATACGTGGGAAACGGTTAGAATCTGGGCAAAAGTTTGGTAGTCCAACTTGTGGGCAATGGAGTTCTGGTTTTCAACAATGGGGAACACCTCCAAATCAGCCACAATGGGGTACACCTCCAGCTGCACCACAGTGGGGAACACCGCCAAATGCTCCACAATGGGGTTCATCTTCAAATGCTCAACAATGGGTTACACCACCAAATGCTCCACAATGGGGTGCACCGCCAAATGCTCCGCAATGGAGTTCATCTCCAAATGCTCCGCAGTGGGGTACACAACATGCTCCACAATGGAGTGCTCCTCAATATTCTCAACAATGGGGTCCATCACCAAATAGTCAACAATGGGGTTCATCACCAAATACTCAACAATGGGGTCCTACATCTGTTGTTCCACAATGGGGTTCATCACCGACCACTCATCAATGGGGTTCATCACAAGATGCTCCACAATATATTCCTCCGAGCAATGTTCAACGTGGATTTTCTCTAGCAACAGAAGTACGAACTACAACAAATGAAAAGGAAGATCATGTTTTTGAGAATGTTGCCAGAGGAGTATCACCAGAATTTGGTTTCAAAAACTATGCCTCTACAAGTAAAACATCACGTCCAAGAAGAGGAGGGTTATTCAACATATGGGGATCTGAACGAGAACTAAATCTAAATGAAACACATGAAAATGATTCCACATCAGATAACTAGTTTAATAAGATTTGTGTTTTGTTAGTAATGGTTATGTTTTGTTTCAAATTATATTATTGTAATTTCTGTTATTGTATTATATTTTGATTAATGGTACTTTTCATTGATTAAGTCTTTATTTTGTGATAAAAAAAATTTTCAGGCTTTTCGTATATGCCAGTTGCGATCACAAAATCCCCAAAGTCTAACTCATGATGAGAGAATTGAGTTATGGAATCTGGAAAATGAGCAATCATCACTGAGTTATTACAATCGTTATTTTGAAAGAGGGCCAGTTCAAACCGGTGGCGGTTTAGGGTGGAGAAATATTTGGGGTCGATTACAAGTAGATGTTGCTGCATGTCTTCAGTTGCTACGAATGTCTCTGGATGCTTTTAGATCTCTTTGTGACATATTGCAATCAAACTATGGTATGCATCCTACGCTGAATGTTAGTATCGAAGAGAGTGTAGCAATGTTTTTGCAAATTTGTGGGCATAATGAAGTTCAAAGAGATGTTGGGTTATGGTTTGGACGGACACAAGAGACAGTGAATAGAAAGTTTTTTGAAGTTCTTAGAGCGACGGAGTTACTTGCTTGTGATTATGTCAAGACTCCAACAAGACAAGAACTNTAGCAATGTTTTTGCAAATTTGTGGGCATAATGAAGTTCAAAGAGATGTTGGGTTATGGTTTGGACGGACACAAGAGACAGTGAATAGAAAGTTTTTTGAAGTTCTTAGAGCGACGGAGTTACTTGCTTGTGATTATGTCAAGACTCCAACAAGACAAGAACTACTTCGAATTCCTGAAAGACTGCAAACAGACAGAAGGTATTGGCCATATTTTAGTGGATTTGTTGGAGCTATGGATGGAGTTCATGTATGTGTTAAAGTGAAGCCTGAAATACAAGGAATGTATTGGGATCGACATGATAGGACATCGTTTAATATCATGGCAATATGTGATCTAAATATGTTGTTTACATATGTTTGGAATGGAGCACCTGGATCTTGTCACGATACAGCAGTTCTCACGATGGCACAAGACAGTGATTCTGATTTTCCTTTGCCTCCACCAGACAAGTATTATGTAGTAGATTCTGGATATCCAAATAAGCGAGGTTTTTTGGCTCCCTATAGATCTTCTCAGAATGGGGTTATTAGGTATCACATGTCTCATTTCAACAACGGTCCTCCTCCTAAGAATAAACAAGAGTTGTTTAATCGATGTCATGCATCTCTACGTTCTGTTATTGAAAGGACATTTAGAGTTTGGAAGAAGAAATGGAGGATTCTGAGTGATTTTCCCAGATATGATATTGCAGTTCAAAAAAGAGTGGTAACTGCTACAATGGGACTACACAATTTCATCAGAATTTCAAATTATTTCGATGAGGATTTTGTTGAAATAATGAGAGACACAAATTTCAGCAACGGAGATTCTGAAAGTGATCCTCGTGATTTGGAGACAACAAATATGGCTGATGAAAATCATATGATGAACATTAGAGACAACATCGCAGATATGTTATGGGCAAATCATTAAATTATTTTACCTTTGTTTATGTATTTTTCATTATGTATTTTGATATTTTGGTGTAATTTTTATTATTAAAAGACATGATCTGCATTTTTTGAACTGCTTTTACCATTCATAACTTCTAAAATAACTTGTTCTGCTTGATCTGCATCTCTCCTGCTTGATCTGCATCTCTCCTGCATGATCCGCTTGATCTGCACTTGTCCTGCTTGATCAGCATGATCTGCTTGATCTGTCCTGCTTAAACTGCTTTTACCATTCGGAACCTTATTATGGATGTAGTTGATGGAAATCTCATGGTTTCTTTCTGACTCATGATGCTCTACTTTTTTAGTATTCTCATTATTTGCTTCTTCCAAAATACTTTCTACTATTTGGATGTATCATCTATTTCAATACCCTTTTGTTTTCTAGTATTTTTATTCTTAGAACCAACAGGTCTACCACGCTTCAAGCGTGTTTTGGACTCACGTGTATCATCTGCTTTTCCTTGATCATTTAACAATTTTATACAAGCATGAGCATTTGCAGCTGGTATATGAGACTTAGTTACCGTTTTGGTATCCGCAAATGCATTAGGTAGCTGATTCGCTATACTCTGTAGATGAATAGTTCGTCGAACTTCTAGTTCAGACTCTTTAGTAGGAGGATCAAGATATAACAGTGAAGGTACACTCCATTTGATATCATTTCCTATATCTTTGTTTTCTCCCTAGAGAACCGGGAATACTTTCTCATCAAAATGACAGTCAGCAAAACGTGCCGTAAATACATCACCAGTTTGTGGTTCTAGGTATCGTATAATTGATATCACAACCAACATATATTCCCAATCTTCTTTGTGGTCCCATCTTTATACGTTGTGGTGGTGCTACAGGCACGTATACCGCACAACCAAAAGTTCTTAAATGGGAGATGTTTGGTTTTCGACCAAATGCTAATTGTAGTGGAGAATACTTATGGTATGCACTTGGTCTGATCCGAATGAGTGCTTCTGCATGCAAAATGGCATGTCCCACACAGAGGTTGGGAGTTTTGACCTCATGATCAATGGTCTTGCAATCAACTGCAGACGCTTAATTAAAGATTCTGCCAAACCATTTTGCGTATGAACATGAGCCACAAAATGTTCAACTTCAATTTCCTTTACCATACAATAATCATTGAATGCTTGGGATGTGAATTCAGCAGCATTGTCTAATCTAACTCTTTTAATAGTATAATCAGGGAACTGTGTTCGCAGTTTGATTATCTGAGTTAGAAATCTCGCAAATGCCACATTTCGAGATGACAATAGACAAACGTGTGACCATCTACTGGATGCGTCAATCAATACCATAAAATAGTAGAATGGTCCACAAGGTGGTATTGGTCCACATATATCGCCTTGAATTCTTTCAAGGAACTTTGGTGATTCTTTATCAATTTTGGTTGGCGATGGCCTTATGATCAATTTTCCAAGGGAACATGCAACACATGTCATTTTATTACCTTGAGAAATCTCTTAGATTTTCAGTGAATGGCCATGTGAGCTTTCTATGATTTTACGCATCATTGTAGTACCGGGGTGACCAAGGCGATCATGCCATAATGTGAAATCTTCTGGATTTTGTTTCACTACAATATTAGATTCGATTTCATCAATATAAGTATGATGCAATCCCGAAGGAAGTTCTGGAAACTTTTCCAATATGTGTTTTCTGCCACATTTATCAGAAGTTACGTATATGCACTTCTTTCCATTCTCAGTTGCAGACTGAGTATCATATCTGTGACCGTATATGTCTTTAAATCTCAACAAATTCCTTTTAGAACTTGGAGAATATAGAGCATTGTTTATGGAAAATTTTGTTCCATTTGGTAACGTAAAGTTTGCTTTACCAATTCCTTCAATCACGTCTGCATGACCTGATATTGTATTAACAATAATTCTTGTCGGTTTCATATCAGAGAAATATCTCTTTTGTCTCAGAATAGTGTGCGTTGTTCCACTATCTTGTATACAAAGTTCTCGGATCCGTTTCTTTGATTTTGTGCCATTAGCATTATGATCTATTTCTGTAATTTCAATAAACATCAATAAAAAGAAAACATGAAATTCATTCATATAATAATCATATAAGAAAAATACACAATAATAATTATACATTAGGGTGATGTTAAAAACATCATTATTTGTTTAAAACAGGAAACGTAATAATTAGACATAAAAATACTGAATGTTACATAATAATCTTATTGTAAGCATTTCAGTTCTCTTCTGGAGTAATATAGTCCAGCTCATTTGCGAAATCAGAAGCTTCGAGGTACGTTGTCCCCTCAAAATTTTCTGTGAGGTTTACTTATTTAGCTTTGCCTTTTGTGGATGCTTCATATAACTTACACAAATGTGGAGGAGTACGACAGGTACGAGACCAATGTCCTTTACATCCACATCGGTAACATACAGTTTCATTCTTCTGAGTGGTATCCACTTGGGTTTCTTTACCCTTAGAAACTTGTTCGGATCTAACCCATTTGTTAGATCCTTTCCACTTAGGATTGTAAGTTTTACCACGTTTTCTATTGAAACGGCGACCACGACCCCGACTGAATTGGGTTCTCCTTTATGAGTTTTCTATCGCCGTAGCATTCACTTCAGGGAATGCCTTGACTCCCGTAGGTCGGGAATTGTGGTTCTTGATCAGGAGCTCGTTGTTCTTTTCAGCCAACATGAGCGCAACCATCAATTCAGAAAATCTCGTGTACCGACATTTTCTGTAAATTTCGGGTAAGAAGTGAAGTTGTATGTCTTATTCATCATTTCTGCCTCAGAGACAGGGTTACCACAATACTTCAGTAGTGAGACGATCCTCAGGACTGCGGAATTGTATTCCTCAACCTTTTGAAAATCCTAGAACCTCAGGTTTTTCCACTCTTCCAGAGCGTGGGGGAGATTGACTTCCTTTTGGTTGTCAAACCTTTCCTTTAAAGCTTGCCACAGTTCAGCTGGGTCCTCTATGCTCGCATAATCATGCGTAACATTCTCATCGAGGTGTTTCTTTAGGAAAATAATCGCCTCAGCCTTTTGTTCAGGTGGCGATTTGTTACCGATTACAATCGTCTCAGTTAACTTTTTCATCACCAGATAGGGTTTCACGTTTGTGACCCATCCGACATAGTTTTCCCCAGTGATTTTGAGAGCCGGAAACTGAAGATGCTCAATTCTTGCCATTTGTATTTCTAAAACACAATATAATAAATTTTATCAGAATTTCATAATATTTAAAACGAACCGTTTACATTAATCATGCAAGCAATTACAAGGAAAAGTACCGCATAGAAAAACAAAAAGAGATTCATATTAAATTCTATCGGAGTGAATTCTCCAACAAAAAAAACGTACGAACAAGCCAAAATTACAATCGCACATAAAACTAAGAGTAATCGCATCATCTTTCTTCACAAGAAAAAATTGGGAGAAAATTATTTGAAAGTAT